AGAGAGAGAGAGAGAGAGAGAGAAGGAAGGAAGGAAGGAAGGAAGGAAGGAAGGAAGGAAGGAAGGAAGGAAGGAAGGAAGGAGAAAGAAAGGAAGGAATAAAAAGAAAGTTTGTCTATTCATGGATCCCGCCACGTTCCATTGATCCTGGTCACTTTGCAAGAAATTTAAGTTCTGAGTTGTCTCTATGCCCTAATTTCCTCAAAGACATGGTCTGCGGGCCTTTGTTTTTTTTGTTCTTTTTTTCTACTTTGTATGCAGGGCCCTCAAAAAGTTCATGGAAAAATGTATACTATAAAAAAGTTATATATGGGGGACCAGCATCTGGCGTAATGGCTATGTTGCTGGACTCCTATGTAGTCAACGGCAGTTCAAGTCCCGGACCTGGTGGCTTAAACTCATATCGGGCGCATATGCTTGTGTGCCCAAGATCCCGAGAGGAGAATGGAGAAGAAGGGATTGTGGTGTGGCCATCCCCCCGGGGGGTGATTTCTCGCTTTCTGTATCTCTGTCTTTTTGGCAAGTGCACTGTAGCAAAAACCTCTCCAAATGAAGAAAAGTTATATACGGATTTTCGGGGACTAGCAGGTGGTATGGTGGTTAAGGAGCTGGACACTCCCACACGGCCAACCACAGTTCGAGTCGCGGACCTGGTGGCTTGCTTTCTCACTTTCCCTCTTTCTCTATCTCTGTGTCTCCTTCTGGTCAAGATAAAATAAAATGAATGAATAAATAAAATAAATAATTCTTTTTAAAAATTGGTTCCTTTGTGGTTTAAAAAAATCTTAAATAAAACAGTGATATATGGATTTTGCACCAAAATAAACTCACAGCTTAATTCCATTTTTCCGTAAACTTTTTTTTTTCCCCCAATAAATGAAGTCCTCTCAAATGGTTTCCAGAAAGGGACAGATTCTAACTTCCACCATGTCCCTGCTAAAACCAGGGCTCTACCCTGGACTTCTGATCAAGTTAATTCTGAATTCCTTTGGGGAAAATGAAAATTGCTTCTGGGTGCTTTTCCCACTCCTTCCGAAGTGAGTGATCTATCAATATTTATTTCTCCCAAATAAAACGACTGAGACCGAAGAATGACGACCTAGAACTAGAGCCAGAAGACAAATTCACGTGGAGAATAAACTGAAAGGGAACGCTGCCAGCCACACCAGCGTCTGTAATTTGTGGAGAAAACGTCCATTTGCATTTTGTAACTGCTGATACTGGTACCCCAAGTAAAAGCTACCCCAATATGTATGCATTTGTGTGTATATAGAACTGCCAGAGACAGTGAGGACTCACCCCCAGGGGGCGTGGCCATGCCAGAACCCCTTCTCCTCCACTCTCCTCCCAGGATTTTGGGCACGAATGCACAGGCACCTGGCATGATTCTCAAGCTGCCGGCTTAGGGCTCAAACTGCGGTCAGCCATGTGGGAGTCCAGTGCCTTAGCCACTGTGTCACCTGCTGCCTCTACCCGACGATATAGTCTAATTATTCACTTCTGTCAGGAGGAAGTGCAGGCACCCTGGACAGGGTCTTCACACCACTATCCTTCCCCCGGCCCAGCAGCCAGCCAGGGTCATGGGTGTACCCAGGGGTGCACGTGGCATGTTCGGGTGGATCTGGGATTCTACCACCACCAGCACGGTGCAGCAGCAGCTCTACTGCCAGGGCCACGGCACGGCCACCCACAGTCTGTCCTTATCATCGTAAAGGGGGAAAGCCCAGAGCCGAGGGGACTTATCGTGTGCAAGATCTCTTCTTCAGTAATCAACCTGACAAGGTGATTTTTGATCCAGTCACTGGCGAGCTCTCAAGTTCAACTCAGTTTGTCAAATACGAGATAGAGCTACTGCCGCCCTGGCAGTCTGGAAGATACTGAGATACCAGAATGATTCTCGTCACTGGGAGCAAAATTACGAACTGAGTATACTTCACAAAATAATCGATGGTACCACGAAGGGGGTTCTTTAAAACACACAAGTTGTTTTGACCACCAGGAAGACTATCACCACCAATGCCCTTTAAATTAGAATTCTAGGGGCAGCAGGTGGCGTGGTGGTTAAGGCACTGGACTCCCACATGACTGACTGTGGTTCAAGTCCCGGACCTGGCAGCTTGCTTTCTCACTCCCACTCCCATCTCTCCCTTTCTGATGAATTAAAAAAATATATAAGTAAATAATTCTTTAAAAAGAAGGAGAAAGTGACATTCTAAATGATAAGTCTGCTCCTACATCTTATTATTTTTTTTTTTTGAGAGGTTTTTGCTATAGGGTGTGTGCATTCACCAGAAAGGCAGAGAGTGAACAACAGAAAGCTAGAAATCACCCCCCAGGGGGGATGGCCATGCCACAACCCCTTCTCCTCCATTCTTCTCTCAGGATCTTGGGCACGCACGCACATGCACCCAAGCGTGAGTTTAAGCCACCGGGTCCAGGACTCCAACTGCGGTCAACTACATGGGAGTCCAGCAACATAGCCATTACACTAACTGCTGGTCCCCTGTTCCTACATCTAATCAGTTCTTCCCAAGTAACTTCAGTGGAGTTTCAGACTTTGCAAATGGCTCAAGGCCCCCTGAAAGATGCAACGACCCCAGCCCCTCACTGACAGCATCTACCTTAACAGATTCTTTATCATAGATTTTACTTTTCAAGAAAATCCCAGCGCTCACCTGTCCGTAGTGAAAATGTACCCCACAAGATCCTTGCTGCTGATCAGCAGAGCACAGAAGGCCGCAGCAAAGAGCTCTAGAGGAGAAACACAGAAGCCGGTGAGCAGGAGGGCTGCAGGCTGCAGGAACCTGGCCGCTCCCTGCCCGCGCCTTCGCACCTGTGACCAGCAGAGCCACCGCGGAGGACTTCCTGGCCTGTTCGATGTTTCCAGCACCCAGTGCGTTCCCAACACGGACACTGGCAGCCACGCTGAAGCCTGTGGGGATCTGGAAGGAAAAGGAAACCGTCAGCTTCAAAACCAGAAAGCCGGGGCCTGCATGGGGAGATGGTCAATGCCTGGCAATGGTCAGACTTGGCCCTCGAAGTTCTGCAAAGGCGATGATGTAACCCGGTAGTTTAGCAGGAAACCCCCGCCCCCAGTCACTTAACTGCTCTAGGTCCCAGCGGTTTTATCTGGAAAGACGATGTAGTGATACGCGGGGTCTTCAAAATGTTCAGGAACACGTGCACTGTGAAAGAACTAGTTCAAACATTTTTGCACCAAAATAAACTAGTACCTTAATTCCATGTTTAAAGACAGCTTTCTCTGGGGCCAGCAGGTGGTCTAGTGGTTACGGCGCTGGACTCCCATATAGGGAACAGTGGTTTGAGTTCCCAACCAGGTGGCTGGAAAATCACTCTGGGCGCATGTGTGTGCATGCCCAAAATCTCAGGAGGAGAATGGAGGATAAGGGATTGTGGCATGGCCATCCCCCTGGGGTGATTTCTCACTTTCTCTCTCACTGTTTCAGTTTCTAGCAAGTACACACACCCTATGGCAAGAACTTAAAAAAAAAAAAAAAGAAAAGAAAAGAAGAGAAACTTTCTCTTTATTCACAACAGAGCATGTGCACATGTTAAGAGTGGGATATGAAGACGTGATCCCCCTCCACAGACCCTGGTAATGCCGTGATCCTCCTCCTGCAGTGCTCCAGCTCATGTACCGGATCTCTGGTACTCACTGGCATGCCTGGCATGTTTGGGCTGGCCTGGCTGGGCATTTGAACTGAGGTCACCATGCAGGATCCTCCCTCTCTTGGGACCAGCAGTTAGCGTAATGGCTATGTCGCTGGACTCCCACATAGTTGATTGCAGTTTGCGTCCCGGACCTGGCGGCTTAAACTCACGCCAGGCGCATGTGCGTGCATGCCCCAGATCCCAGGAAACCCCCGCCCCCAGTCACTTAACTGCTCTAGGTCCCAGCGGTTTTATCTGGAAAGACGATGTAGTGATACGCGGGGTCTTCAAAATGTTCAGGAACACGTGCACTGTGAAAGAACTAGTTCAAACATTTTTGCACCAAAATAAACTAGTACCTTAATTCCATGTTTAAAGACAGCTTTCTCTGGGGCCAGCAGGTGGTCTAGTGGTTACGGCGCTGGACTCCCATATAGGGAACAGTGGTTTGAGTTCCCAACCAGGTGGCTGGAAAATCACTCTGGGCGCATGTGTGTGCATGCCCAAAATCTCAGGAGGAGAATGGAGGATAAGGGATTGTGGCATGGCCATCCCCCTGGGGTGATTTCTCACTTTCTCTCTCACTGTTTCAGTTTCTAGCAAGTACACACACCCTATGGCAAGAACTTAAAAAAAAAAAAAAAGAAAAGAAAAGAAGAGAAACTTTCTCTTTATTCACAACAGAGCATGTGCACATGTTAAGAGTGGGATATGAAGACGTGATCCCCCTCCACAGACCCTGGTAATGCCGTGATCCTCCTCCTGCAGTGCTCCAGCTCATGTACCGGATCTCTGGTACTCACTGGCATGCCTGGCATGTTTGGGCTGGCCTGGCTGGGCATTTGAACTGAGGTCACCATGCAGGATCCTCCCTCTCTTGGGACCAGCAGTTAGCGTAATGGCTATGTCGCTGGACTCCCACATAGTTGATTGCAGTTTGCGTCCCGGACCTGGCGGCTTAAACTCACGCCAGGCGCATGTGCGTGCATGCCCAAGATCCCGAGAGGAGAATGGTGGAGAAGGGATTGTGGCGTGGCCATCCCCCTTGGCGGGGTGATTTCTCGCTTTCTGACTCTCTGTCTCTCTCTGTCTTTCTGGCGAGTGCACATGCCCTATAGCAAAAACCTCTCAAAAAACAAACAAACAAACAAAACAAAACAAACAAACGATCCTCTCTCTCTTGAGTAGCATGATACCGCCGTGCCATGGAGCGGGCCTAGTTCCATCTTCCCAAGGACACTTGAAGCCCCTAGCGCATATGGTGATTGGAGGGGTTTGACGAGCCCATACAGGCGAGCTGCTCAGAATCGTGTCTCACGTGTAATAACGGCCCAATGAAGAGATGCTGTTACAATGAGCTACACACGGACAAAGGGAAAAACTAAATAAAGTTTCACCACCCATTCCAACATGGATGCTCCCTTATAATCAGGATGACTGAGGGCAGCATTAAAAAACGGAAACAAAGAATGAGGATAGAGAAGAAACAGAAGACTGCGTTCCTGCCTAGCCCCTCACTAATAGGAACAGAGAGATCTCCCAACAAATATTCCTCCCATTCAAAGGGAAAAACAATAACTCGCCAGGAATGAACCTGGCAGATACCACCCGAGCCAAGCAACCAAAATTAAGATCTCCAGTGGGGCCAGCTGGTGGGGTGGTGGTTGAGGTGCTAGATCCTACATGGCTGACTGTGCTGTTCGAGTCCTGGACTGGCAACTCAAAAAACACCCTGGGCGTGTGTGTGCGTGCCTAAAATCCCAAGGAGAGAGCAGAGAAGGGACTGTGGGGAGGGGGGTGTTTCTCGCTGCTTCCCATCCCTCACCTTGGTCCGTCTCTGGCCAATGCACCTGCCCTTCAGAAAAAATTAAAAAAAAAAAAATCACCAAGGATGGAACAAGTCAACATCACGTGCCTCCTGAAAGGATGCACTGAGAAGGGCACGGCCCTTGTTTCTGTCACTTTTCCTGCCAAATATGGACTGCGGGATCTATCCGAGAGCATACATCAGCTGTTAATACAGCATACATGTTCTACAGAAATGCCGAGGTCAAGGGAGGCAAACGCGGGGATTCTGTCCGCCAGGAGCCAGGTGGCGCTGTCCGTGGTGCTGGACCGCAGTGCTGGAAGCCCCTTGGCCAATCACTGGTTCCTTTCCTTGGGCGGGCCTGTGCCTTAGCTCACAGTAGCGTGCTAACAGAAAAGACCTGCCTGTGTGATTTATGAGGAAAATAGAGACTTATTGGCAGCACGCACGATTCTGGTGGCTGGGAAGTCCAAAGACACCACGAGACGGCAGGAGACAAAGTCGTTAGCAGCATAGTGCACGGTCTGCTAGGTGCGCTCCTGCTTGGTCTCATTCGCTCTGCTCATAAACCCACCGGAACTCAGCCGTGGGGGCCTGCCATCGTGACCTCATCACACAGAGCCCTGGACCCAGTGATTGGAAAATCACACCGGGTGCGTGTGCGTGCATGCCCGGGATGCCAGGAGGAGAATGGAGGAGAACGGATTGCAGTGTGGCCATCCCCCCTAGGGGGGTAACTTCTCTCTTTCACTCTCAGTGTCTCTGTCTCTCTCTCTGGCAAGCACACATGCCATAAGGCAAAAACCTCTGGGGGAAAAAAAGGCTTCGGAGCGGGGCTGGAGCTGCGTGTGCTGAGACAGTACTACCTCGGGATTTACTGCCACATACCCAGCCCCGCCACTCGCCAGTGTCACGCCTCTCGAGGCATTTGTTGTGACAACTGGAGAAGAGTCGAGGAGTGTGGAAACGAAAGGAAATCAGACCTCCAGGTCTGCACTGTGGTAGACAGAGACCTTGCAGGCCATCCGGAACTTCTGCCCAGTGCTCTAATCCCAAAAGACTAGGATAAGATCTTACTTCCATAAAACATTTCACGAATTATTGCTTAAGGTTATAACCCTCGCGTCCCGTAGGACTCATCCAGAAAACCCAGGAAGGAGACGCCCACCCTGTCCCCGTGAACGACCAGCTCTCACGCACGTACCATGTACACGATGACGGCCAGCTCGTACACGACCGACTGCGCCCCCAGCTCCACCATGCCGAGGATGCCTGCGGGGACAGACAGCTGCCGCCCTGCGCAGCGCCGGGCCAGGGGCCAGGGCCCGCCCACCGCCCTCCGCCCTCCCGGCCACCGTCGCCCAGCGCCCAGCGCCCCCGCGCACCGCTCAGGAAGCTGCCGATCTCGTAGGCCCACCACTCGATGCACAGCATCAGCATGCTGGGGATGGCCAGGCGCAGGAAGGAGGCCCAGTCCTGCAGGCACTCGCGGGACCACCCTGTAGGCGGGACAAGGGGTTGCCTTCTGCGTGGTCGGGCCCAGGACACCCCAGACTAACCCACAGCCAGGCCAGCTCAGTGCTCTGCCCTGCCGCAGGCCACGCGGAAGACTGGAGTCTGCTCCCGGTAGAGGCCGCGCTCGTGTGTGCCAGGGCCACTGGCTGGGAGGGCTGCAAATCAGGGAGAGGGGCCCTGTTGGAGGGGGGTGTCCCTCTCTCTCTAAATAAATAAGCAAACTTAAAAATAAAAAAAAAAGACGAAAAAGAAAAGGGTCAGCAGGTGTGTGGTAGCTAAGGCACTGGACTCTCATATGACCAACTCCATGGTTCAAGTCCTGGGTCTGGTGGCTTGAAAATCAAGCTGGGTGCATGTGCATGTGGGCCCAAAATCCTAGGAGGAGAATGGAGGAGAGGGGATTGTTGAGTGGCCATCCCCCCCCCCCCCACATACACACACACACCCAGGTTATGATTTCTCACTTTCTCTCTCACTGTCTCACTCTGTCTCTCTCCAGAGACAGCATGTGCCTTATAGTAAAAATCTTACAGAAAGAAAGAGAGAGAAAAAAAACAGGACCAGCCAGCCCCATGGGAGCTGGACCCCACCTGGCTGACATGGACACAAACTCCAGCCCAAGAGGCTTGAAAAACACACCAGGCACATGTGTGTGTCTCTCTATCCCAACGGGGTGGAGAAATGGAGGAGGAGGGATTACGGTGTGACCACGCCCTGAGGGGGTGCTTTCTCCTCTCTCTCAGGTGAGCACGTGTGCCCTCTGGCGATTAGGGGGAAATAAGAAAAGCAAACAGGAAACCAGACCCCAAATCCGAGCTGGAAGGCGAAAGGCAGCCTTTACCTCCCCAGGTGGCTCGGTGCAGCTTTCTCCCGAGGATGTAGACGAAGAGGAACAGAGCCAGGGTGAACTGGGAAAGCGTGTTCGCCAGCGCAGAGCCCCTGGGGAGAGCCGGCCCAGTGAGGGGGTGCCTGCCCTCCACCCTCTCTCGGCCCCCTGGGGTGGAGGAGAGTGGCCATCCCTCATCAGCAGGCCGTCTTCCAGCCCTCTGCTCTGACGGCATTTCCTGGAGACCAGGCCTGGACACAATGGCCGGCCAAAGGGCCCTCCTTCCCCCTAGAAAAGCCGCAGGCAGGTCAGCCCTCTCCCTGTCCAGGGCAGGCCGGACTCACATCACCCCGAGATGCAGCTGGTGGAGAAATACATAGTTGGCGAGGGCATTGATGAGGTTGGCTGCAACTCCAGTCACGATCTGGGGCAGGACGATTCCCTGGAACAAGGGGACGCACACCGTGCTTGAGGTCATCAGAAATGCACACCTGCCAAGTCAGGGCCACCATCCTGGGCCCTGGGCCATTGCTGCCACCACCGACAGTTCAGACTAACACCAGGTAGCATTAGGATTCACGCTTCCACGTCCTCGCTGAGGAAAGCGGGGTCCTTCAGACAGAACGCAGCAGGGGTCGGCTCTCTGGAGCCAGACGGGTGGCTCCAGCCCCCTGCGCTCTCTGGGGAGCAGCCAGGCCTGCACCCTTCCTTCCGGGCAGCTGGCTAAAACACAGCCAAAGATGCTAGAGCTCTCTTCCTGCCCCGCCAACGACAATATTTCCAAGTGGGAGTGGGATAAGATTTCCCAGCCAAGGACAATGTGTGTTTTCCCGGACACCACTTGACAAGCCCCTCACCGTCCATCCCGTACGCACACCAAAAACGTCTTTCTGTGGCTCCCTGGGGGGAGCTCCCACCACCCTGGGCTCCCTGAGTGTTTGCAGGACACCTGCTCTTGGCAAGGGCAAACTCTGGTTAGCTCCCCAAAGGAAAAGGACACTCGGTGTTACCTGGTTGAGCAAGTATTTAACTTGTAATGTATAAAGAAAGGTGGCCTGCAAGAGAAGAGAGATGGGTGTTAACGCCCTCACCGTCCAGGGGACAGGGAGTGGGGAGCCATGGAAGGCTGTGTCATGGCCAAGGTCGGGCTGCCCTTTGCTCCCACACAGCCATCGAAGCTGCCATCGAGGTGCAGGGCAGGCCCCGGGTGTCCACGGGTGTGTTTCACACACCTCTTTCACGGCTGCCCAGTATCCAACCCACCCCCAGTCTGGCAAAAGGCAGCAGTTCTCCAGGAACACAACAAGGCATCTCTGGGGACATGGGGTGGTAAAGGCAGCCCAGGCAAACTCCCAGTGGACGACACCACGCAGAATAGGCTACTGTTCTGTTCCGTGGGATAGGTAAGGAACAGCACGTGTTCAAGGTTTCAGGATGAACAGAGGAGACAATGCCAATTAGGAGGACAAATGGCTACTTTTGTGGGCTCGAGTGTGTCTCCCAAGTTCATACGTGGAAGTCCTAACCCCCAAAGCGACTGCTTTCAGAGGTCTTTAAAGAGGGGATGAGGCCCGGCCTCACGGCTTAGTTGGTTGCACACTGAACAGCGGTGTTGGAAGCCATGTGGTTGACTGGGTTAGTGTTCCAGGTTGGCTTGAAAACATTAGCAGGAGCTGCAAGTTTGGAAAACAGAGCAGTAGAGAGGGTGACTGTAGATTCTAGAGATAGGGGTAATCCAGAGTGGGTAATGGAGGGAGGGGAACGGGAAGAAAGTGTGTTTAATTGACACAAAAATGATATTTGCTGATGATAATGTATATATCATCATGTCTTTGTCTTGACCGATGTACACCGTGGTCATGCTGGAAAGAGCAATGTTGTGTACTGTAAAGATATAGAGTGGTTAAATGTAAGTTAAAAATTAAATTAGAAAGAGAGAGAGAGAGAGAGAAGAAAGAAAGAAAGAAAGAAAGAAAGAAAGAAAGAAAGAAAGAAAGAAAGAAAGAAAGAAAGAAAGAAAGAAA